CTGCCTGTGAGACTGGGGGATTCTGGGAGTTGAGGTCCACACCACTTAAGAGTTGCCCTGGTGGAGAGGAGAAGGTTGTTGACAGCCTCCTTCCTTCGCTTTGATTCCACTCGCTAGACGTCAAAGTAAAGAGGGCTTTATTGCATTGTATTTATTTATCAAGTTTACTCGCCACCCGCCTTAGCTTTCAGGTTTCTATCACAATATCCTAAATCAGTGTTTTAAGATAGGTGGACTTCAACTCCCAGAATCCCCCACCCAGCTTGCTTTAAGCTAGGTGGACTTAATAATAATAATAAAGTTGGAAGGCACCTTGGAGGTCACCTAGTCCAACCCCCTGGTCAGGCAGGAAACCCTATGCCATTTCGGAGAAATGGCTGTCCAGTCTCTTCTTAAAAACTTCCAGTGTCGGAGCATTCACCGCTTCTGGTGGCAGGTTGTTCCACTGGTTAATTGTTCTAACTGTCAGGAAGTTTCTACTTAGTTCTAAGTTGCTTCTCTCCTTGGTCAGTTTCCACCCGTTGCTTCTCGTCCTGCGTTCAGACTTCAACTCCCAGAATTCCCCTGCCAGCGTTTAACTTAAAAGGCGCCAACTTCACTGCTGGATCCCCTACCTTGTGCGACTGAATGTGGCTTCTTGGATTTGTAGTCCCCAGCAGCCACTTGCCCGACCGGCTACGGGAGGAAAGGAAGGAGCTTTAGTTGAAGGTTGAAATGAATATTTTCAAGTCCCATTTTCCCGCACTCTGATATTCCTGCCCTTAATTAATAAATGGAAGAGCCTGTGTGTCTCGCCGGGTATCCAATTTTGGGGAAGAGCGTAGAAGGATAGAAGAGGAGGAGAGTGGCTAGAAAGGAGCCCAAGGAAGACTCAATGGTCCGACGAACCCATTTTACAGAACGGGGAGGAAAAACTGAGGACAAAAAAAAAAAGCAGAACAAACACGGAGCGCGTGGGGGATTCCGTCAAGGCGGAAATGACTGACGTGACGGTGTCCACAATTGGGGGGAGGAGGAGGGGGGCAAACTTACCAAGGTGGCTCCCAAATTGTTGGGGGTCTGAGCGGCGGCAGCCCCTTCCCGCAAGCGCAGGTCGAGCAGCCCCCCCAAGGGGGGGTCCTTTCCCGGGAAATCGTTGTAGTATTGGTGGTCGGGGGGCGGCTCTTCCTCTTCGTCCCACGCGGAGCCGTCAAATCCGGCCATCCTGGCGAGGGCAGAAGCGGACCGCAGATCAGGAACACGGGCAGTTAGTCCTCGACTTACGGCGAAAAACGGAACCCCCAAATTCTGTGGCTAAGTGAGAGACATTCGCCCGGCGGATTTTGCCCCCCAAGACTTTCCTTGCCACGGTCGTTAAATGAATCTCTTCGGTTTTTAAGGTTGTTAAGTTGAATCTGGCGTTCCCCCCCCCCCCGTGGATTTGGCTTGCCGGATTGCGTGACCCCGGGACACGGCGACCGTCGTAAATACGAGTCGGTTGCCGAGCGTCTGAATTTTGACGAGCAGGGGGGAATGCTGCAACGGTCGTGAAGTCTTGAAAAAAAACCAGTCCTAAGTCCCTTTTTTCAAGGGGCGTTGCGACTTTGAACAGGCACTAAACGAACTGTGGTTAAGTGGAGGACTGCCTACACACACACACACACACACACACACAAAAACCCCGGGCTGGCCCTACCTGTCGTGAGGCGTGACGAGTTTAGGGGGGTTTTTAAGGTACTGCTTGAAGCGCAATTCGAACGCCTGTCCAATGGTGCTGATGACGTCTTGGGATAATCCCTCGGGACACTCCAGGATGTGGCAAGCTGCAGAAAGGGAGCGAAAGGGAAGGGGTGGCGTTGATTGATTATCGATTGTTGATTTCTTGATTGTTGATTAAAAACAAGTGAAAAACAACTGGAGTGTTTTTAAGAAGAGACTGGATAGTCACATTGGGACTGGACTAGAAGACCTCCAAGGTCCCCTCCATCTCTGTTATTCTGCTTTCCTTCCTTCCTTCCTTCTTCCCCCTCCCTCCGTCCCTCCCTCCCTTCTTCCCTCCCTCCCTTCTTCCCTCCCTCTGTTCCTTCCTTCCTTTCCTTCCTTCTTCCCCCTCCCTCCCTCCCTTCTTCCCTCCCTCTGTTCCTTCCTTCCTTCTTCCCCTCCCTCCCTTTTCCTTCTTCCCTCCCTCCCTTCCTTCTTCCCTCCGTTCCTTCCCTCCCTCC